GCTCCCCCCCCCCCAACTTTGAGAAAAACTTGGTCAAAATCAGGGAGAACATGGTTTGCACCATCTATTTAGGATATAAGATTGCTCACCCCCTCCACAAAATTATGCACAAAACTACACCACCCAGGACAGGAGGCTGCTGTGTGGTAGGGGCTCCTAGACCAACACATTGGGAGGGGAGGGGGAACCATTTCCCCCTCACAGAGCAATCCAGCTGCACGAAATTAGCATCACTACATGCTGCATCTACTCACAAGTGTTGAGTCTGGTGTCATAATTTTATCAGTGTATGACACAGCTAAATTTAAATTTTGCCTTTGTCTACACCACCAACCAGTCGCACTGTCACTGCCTGGTGCGCAGCCCCTCCAAAAAATGGTTGGTAGGCTACATAAATGGTGCATATGCAATAGCAGTCTTCAACAACAAAGCCTCTGTAAGTAATTTATTGGTTTTGATATTGCTTTTGTGACCCTTAATGAATTTGTAAAAAACATTCATGGGCAAAATGAAGCTGGGATAAAAGGTAGACCCAAAAAGGTAAATGACTATATAAACACAAGGCTAAAAGCTGTGCTCAACAGATAACAAGAAACCCTGCTTTAGCTTTATACTCAGATCATGATCCTGTTGCGACACCCTGTAGATTGATAGAAAAATTTCATGCTCTTGTTTAATCCCCCTTTTATACATTTTCATCACATATTCAGCTCAGAATTCTTGGTGGAGAATATGCCTTCCCTTCAATGCTAAGTCCTCCCCAAGAGCCAAAGACTCTACTAGCCGTGGTTTTCCGCGTGCCAAAGCTAGTGTTTCGGAGGGTGTTTGACGTCACCAGCATACCTTCTGTACAATATCCATTTTTGGTAGTTTCAAGTGCAACTTTAATATAAATGTTATTTTAAAATACTTGAAAATAATTCATTCATCAACATATGATTGATTCACACCATGTTTAGAGGTACATGTTAGTGTGATATCATATACTTTTGTATCAATTTGTATTGTGTTGCAATGATTTCTACATGCAGTCCAGAAACATTGGGAAGGTGGGTTAACCATATGCTGGTGAGCAGCAACAGACCTGGACACTGAGTGCATTGTGAGGAAATATTGTAAGTGATAGGGTACAGAGATTCGGCTGTAGCCCGCAAGCAGTATCCCTCGTTCAGTTGTGGATGTAGTGCGGGATGCTGTCAAAGTTGCAGGAACAGCTTGCCCTCATCTGACGTTGCTCACAGAGTACAACTTTTTGCATTCTGTCCAGTGTCAAAATCTCTTGGAGCTAAAAACACCAAGAAACACCATCACTGGCAATCATTGAGACTTGGCAATCACTGAGACCAGCCAGATCATGGTATTTACTGTCATCTGCTGCCTAAAAATATCCTTAAGTGTCAGCTTTTGAATGCAATGCATATTCACCTGGGTCATTTTGTTCTCACTACAAGCTGTGATTGTAACATTTTTGTTCTCTCTCCTCAAGAACCAAAACCAAATTTCAGATACTGAGTGGAGTACAAAATTTTGAAAGTGCTGCAGGTCATTATGCTTTATTTAGGGTATCTTTGGGAGATCACTGTACAATAGGTCGTACTTAATGAAATTGCCACTTTGTAAACAGCAATTCATGTAAAAGCATTTCAAATGAAAGAAAACATCAGTATTGACCATAGCACACTGAAACAACACAGTCTCAGATTCTGTAATGTGAGACACATGCATATATATATATATATATATATATATATATATATATATATATATATATATATATATATATATATGCATGTGTCTCACATTACAGAATCTGACACTGTGTTGTTTCAGTGTGCTATGGTCAATACTGATGTTTTCTTTCATTTGAAATGCTTTTACATGAATTATATATATATATATATATATATATATATATATATATATATATATATATATATATATATATATATATATATGTATATGTGTGTGTGTGTGGGCTTGGAATATATGAAAATGCATACCAAACCAAGGATCTGGGCAAGTCTTTCTTCCAAAGTATTGCTGTAAATAGTAGGTATCTTAAGTGATTCTCCCAAAGTTACCAACAAGTTGCTCAGAGTGTGCACATTTTCACAAATTAAGTTTGGAGCTGACCAGAGAAAAATGAAACACAAAAGAATGACGATGAATGTGCCACGGACGGTCACCTTTTCATGCTCTACTATGATTGCGCCTCTGACGCTCCACTATGGTCGTGCCGCTCATGCTCGATGAGGTAACTAGTTTCGAAAAGTTTTAAACCGTCATGCATTCCACCTTCCAACTCCGGGACAACACTCGAGGCCCTGCCCGTCCCAACCGTATATAAGAAACAGGCAGCACTCTTAACCAAATTTCTCGAGACAGCGCGAGTACAGAGCCTGGCAGGCTGGTCCAAGCCAGCCAAAGAAATCATTGTCAGTCGCTCTGCTGACTGGTGGGTACTTCAGGGTATTGATAGATTTTGGGGTGCTTTAATGGATATTGTGAAATATGATAGTTTTTGTTTCAATGTATTGATGCTTTTTTGTAATAAATTTGTTTTCTTAATTTGCCACACCAAGGTTATGGGGTCATGTTACTCTAGTCTCCTGGTGTCTTTGCTGGAGTGAGACGGCTGTCTCCAAACAGCTTTTATGACTATTTATAGCAACGTTTTTCGACTTAGATGGGTATTTTTGTAAAGCTTTAATTACCAGTTTTAAGTTCAATCCCTTAAATGACAAATTGAACTTGGTTTAAATTCTCAGCTGCCCTTACATTTTTGTACTCCAATACCAGCAAGTGGCCAGAAATCCAACCAGAAGGCAGTTCTAGATGAGTGCAAATAAGTCCTTCCCCATAATCATGATGCCCATCTCTGTACAGCTTCCCTCAATGTTAACAAATTTGTTCAAGACATTAGTGCATTATGCTCAGGACAAATCAGTCATGAGGAGGCAAATTATCCAAACCAATTGGAGAGATTTGCTATGTTCAACCTCTGAATTGAGCTAGGAGGCTGGTGCAAGTCACTGAAGCTGGGAGGTGGGAGCAGGTCACTGAATAGTTAAGACATTTCCGACGCCGCATTACGAGTGATTCTTCTATTTGCATTGACTTGACACAGTGGTGGAGAGTGAGTAGGTGGCCATCTGGTAGGTGCTTGGATGTGTGGTTTTCTATCACCATTCATTGCATCCTTGGTGATTAATGTGGTTTGTCATGAATGATGGGTTAAATCATGTTCAAATTTGAGTTGGTCTGCATAGGGCATAGGAAGTGAGAGCTTTGCCAATTTACAAACCAGTATGATTCTGCTGCTCATTTTTTATTTCCTGGCATGGTTCGAAGATGACTACATTCAACATTCACACTTTATTCTTCACATTTCCATACATGATTTGTTGCATACTTAGGTGGCAGCACAGGCTGCTTGCCACTGGGCATCTAAGTGTAGTGAGTGCAAGATTTGTGTTTTTCTCGATATCAATACATGGCTCATGATGGAAGCAGCAGGTCCCAAGCCGTTGCACATTTTGGTTTCATTTTGTCCTGGAACAGAGGGGTAAAGTGAGGTTTTCCAAAAGCTGTCTTTGTAGCATTGTGGTGGAGTACAAAATATTTCCTTTTAGCCAGTCACAAACCTGGAGTACACAATCTTGTGGTATACATTATACCAGGAAACATTGATCTTTTCAACACTGTTAAAAGGATTATATTGGACTCAACATCACCCTCATGGTTATGGAAGAACAAACATGGTGTTGCTTGCTGCCAAAATAAGTTGCATCTCCATCACCAGGTGAACAAAGGTAGCTTCAAAAATACTTCAAGTTGTGTTTGGTCACAAATGTGCAGTGCCCAGGGGTTGTCAAAGTTAAATAGCCATGTTTTTCAGGTGTAACCATGGGCAGTAAAGCTAAAATACCAGTTTTCAGCACCATTCATAACAGATAGTAAGTCCCAGAATATGAGATGTTCATTTTGACCATGCCACTTGAAGCCAGTGAGTTCTTAGAAACCATTTTTAAATACCATGAAGAAGTTGGTACATATACTTTTTATTTTACCCACAATCTACAAGCCATCAAATAGTCTTCACAAAAGTGGCTGGTGCATATAAGTGAAGTCTGAGAAGATGTGGAGAGTGTTTCCTTATAATACTGCATAACATTTTGACAACAAACTGCATGTAGGGAGTGGAACATTGTGCTATTGTTGTAAAGGTTGTTGAGCACAAAGCCCTTACTATATTTTGGGCTCTGATGGGGATATGATCACTTGCAAAGGACCAATCTGCATGTGAGTGAGAAACGTGCTTTTATCAATGGGCAACCATCATAATGTTTGTTCACTTGTTTCATCATGGACCTTCTGGCATATGTACAGCATAGTCTTGTAAATCTGATTTTAAAATATAGTAAATGCCATTGCTCACAAATAGTGTTCCATTCAATCAGAAAGGGATTGAGGGACTGTGAAACTTGTGACATTTAAACAAAGAGGGACTGCAGCTTTCTTCCCCTATGTTGCCAAAGCCTTTCGTGCCCGGCACATACGTTTCCCGAGGTATTGGTTGAGATGAGGCGGGTGGGGTATGACCACGTTTGAGGTATCAGGTGACGTGTCTGGTGCTGGACGTGTGCAGACCGGTGCTGATGTGCGTGTTGTGCGACAGTGGCCGCGCCCGGGCGGTGATGTGATGAAGCGCCAGGAGCCGCCGGTGAGCAGTGAGAGTGCGCCGCCGTCCGCGGCGGCGGCCGCCGTCGTCTGCGTGGTGCCCCCGGCGCGCCGCCCGCCCGCCGAGCCGCCCGTCTTCTCCTCGCCCAGCATGGCTGCACAGCCGACGGCCGCCCGGCTGGCGCCGCAGCCGGCTGCGCTCAGCGCCGCGCCTGTCGCCGCCGCCACTGCCGCCGCCGCCGTCGCCGCGGCGCCGCAGGCCGGTCCGCCACCGCGCGGCATATCGCCGATCGCACCGTCGGCCGGAGGTCCGGCGCCGCTGCCGGCTGGGCCGCCGCCGCTGCCGCAGGCGCCGCTCGCCTCTCATATGGTGCACGGGCTCATGACGTACCAGCAGGCACCGCTTGGCGCCGGTCACGTCACCTACGGCGAGAACCTGTCGGTGAAACCGGACGGCGCGACGGTGGTGTACTCGGGAGCCGGCGCCACGCCGCTCTCGTCCGCCGCGCAGGTTAGCGCCGGCGACGTCAGCTGGGCCTCCCCTCTCGCTCTGTAGTATGGGGACTTCTGCACTCTGGTTTTAGTTGGTAAAGCACATGTCTCTGTGTAAATATCGTTTTAGGACAGCGTGACAATCGGCATTGTGTTCTCATGCACAGGTTGAATAGGAAGGCATGTGGAGTTGCTGAATCCGTCGCGAAGGCGAGTGATTCCCAATGTGTTTTGTATGCATGTGTCGCACATCTGTTTCAGAGCTCACACGTGGGGACGAGTGTGACAGTGTCTGTAACCAGCTCTCTGCACACGCTGTCGAACGCCAGCAGCGCCAGTGTCCACCTGCCGCAGACACACCCGATGGCCATCAGAAGAGTGAGTTGTCGCGATCGTACCTCCCAGAGTCCGGCTGCCGTGTCAGGCTGTAGGCCCTGTAGTGTTTCCTCGGCTGCTTCGCGGCTGACTCCCACCAGCAGTATTATGCAGTCAAGGCAGGTGATTATACTCGTCGTGGCGACAGCACTCAGGGCCTGTGCAGGACTTCGACGGTAGGGTTGTCTGCCTGTGGTACCCGCACGACTCTGCATCGCCGGCCGGTGGGCGTGATCTGGCCTGGTCCTCTGTCCTCCCATCCCCCCCCCCCGCTCCCCCCCCCCCTGGCCGTACCTCTGTTCAGAGCCCAACAGCAGTCCTCGGTCTGATGCCGTGCCCTGCCGCAGCCGACGTCGGCGATGGCGGCGGCCATGGTGATCGGTGCGGTGAGCGCGGCCAAGCCCGGCTCGCTGTCGGCCGCCGGGCAGGCCGGCGCCGCCCAGGCCGCCGCCGACGCGGCCGCCGCCCAGCCCAGCTACCAGCGGCTCAAGGTCGAAGACGCGCTCTCGTACCTGGATCAGGTGAAGTCCAAGTTCCAAAACAACCCGGAGGTGTACAACGACTTCCTCGACATCATGAAGGAGTTCAAAGCTCAGAAGTGAGTGGTGACGCCGGTCGCGCGCGGCTTCCGTCGATCGGCCACTATGAGGGAGCGCTGCAATGTCACATTTTGCCGGACGTTTCATAGTGCCTGACACACTCAGTGTTGTATGTTATTGCATCAGCAGCATTTGTTGATAGTAATGCACTGTGTTTGCTCTGCCCTGGACTCGACTGTCAAAGTTCCTGTGGTGAAATGGATGCACCAGCTGCCCTGCTCTATGGCGTTCCGCACCTGCTATCAGTCCACCCGTCTATGTTTGACTGGCTATGAAGATGTCTGCCTGTCGGCAAGTAATGGTGCATGCCCTGCCCGCTTCATGTGTGTTCATTGTGTCTGCTCTCTTGCTGTTTGTGTGGTTGTATGGTACGCTAACGGCGTGTGCGTGCGTCGACCGGCAGTATCGACACGCCAGGCGTGATCACGCGCGTCTCCAGGCTGTTTTGTGGCCACCCGGCGCTCATCGTCGGCTTCAACACGTTCCTGCCGCCCGGCTACAAGATCGAAGTCCAGTCGACCAACGACGTGAGTGACTCCGGCGAGCCGCCGGAGAACCGCTTGGGCTCGCCCGAACGCTGACCACTAACAGACTCCACGCTTCTGCCGCGTTTGGTAACGCTGCTTGCATGCTATCTCCGCAGAGTGCACTGGTGTGGGTCAGTAATGAAGTAGCTGCCTGCTAGGTGTCAGGTCTTGCATAATATTGGGAACATGTTGCTGTTTGGATGAAAAACATAAATGCCATCTTCAAATCACGAAATCATTTCTGTCTTGGAGATGTATCTTGTGCCCAACCTGATCATGTCAGTGTTCATGTCAACAAACACGCGGTATGGATTTCACTGTTGCCTGTTGGACCCCTGGAGGTGTTCAGATGCTGCGTATTTACTCGACAACAAATGAGATATAGGTCGCCTCATGATGCTAAGCTTGATGCCATGTGCACTGTGTGTTTTGCTCTTCCTCCCACCCCTGAAGATGTTCCAAGGTTCCACATGCACCTAGTGTAAAAAACGTGTGTTCGTTTTCTCATCTGGCTGTGATCATGCATGGTTGGACACGAAACTATTCTGCGTTGGTTTCCTTTAATGCTTCTTGTTTTGTCATTTGGCCGTGGTGACGCATGTTTGGATGTCGGCAAACTATTCATTGATCTCCTTCTGTGTTTGATTCGTCTTGTCGTTCGGCTGTGATGCATGTGGACTGGCATGTTGTCCGTTGTTTCTCGTGACGAAAAGAATGTACTGCAGTTGAAAAATGTCTGGAACGACGGGTGTGCGTATGGCGAAGCGGGGTGACGTCGCTTTTGGGCATGGAACATCTGTGTTGTCGGAAATGCTTGTATTCAATAAATACGTGCGAGGGTTAGGATGAAGAGCCCCCTGTCCGTCACCGCACCTTTCGACCTGCCATGGGTACACCTGACGTGCGTCCGACAAGCCACTTTGTCTTCCAAAAATCTCGACCATTTCCATTGCCGATGGAGGTGCGGGTTAACTGACACAATGCTATACAGAACTACCTGACAGAACTACCTGACCTGACCTGACTTTGTAAGAATTTCTTTTGATTCTGCTGAGAGGAAGCCTTATGCATTTGTATAGGGTTTTGAACTGAAATTGCCATCTTGAAGATCATTTGGTGCAGTTCACAGCCCTGCCCTTGTTACGGCCTACGCCCTTCTAGTTTCCGAGCCACTACCTGACTAATTTTCTGTTGTGGTGAAGAGTCCACTAAGTAATCCAGGATTAGAGTTATCTGACATCCTTGACCATTTTCTACAACGGTCGAGGACAGCTACCTCTTGGCCTGACATGGACTGCGTAGATGATGTGCTTGATATAGCTTGCAGCGCTACTGTGTGTTGTGGGTTTTGTAAGAATTTCTTTTGATTCTGCTGAGAGGAAGCCTTACGCATTTGTATAGGGTTTTGAACTGAAATTGCCATCTTGAAGATCATTTGGTGCAGTTCACAGCCCTGCCCTTGTTACGGCCTACGCCCTTCTAGTTTCCGAGCCATACGCCCGGGAAAGTGTGTAGACTTGTGGACAGCTTATTTCAAGGCCGCCGAGGCATCCATACTTATGACGTCTTTCAAGTTATGTCATTCCATTGGCCATGCGGCCATGAAGGCCAATAAAATATAGTCGGGTAGTTAAAATTTGGCTATCTATCATTTTCGTTCCAACGGTTTCCAGATATAACGACCGTCAATTGGCTCGTTCAGTATTGTGTAAGGTGCGATCACGTTATCATACAATGGTGTATTGAGCAGCGTATTTCCTCGGCAAAGAAATTGCGGTGCCTAGAGTAAGCTTTTCCACTAAAAAGTTCACCAGTCGTCATAAATAAGCTTATTTCACCGTGTCGGATGCTTGCTGCAATGGTTTCAAACGTGAAGCATTTTATTTTGAGAAGATGGCTATCCCCGATGCGTGGCAACTTCTGGATGCGACAATTTCTTGGAAGCTGAGGTGCCCCAATATTTATCAGTCATCACAGTGTCAATTCTACCAGTTCCGCTCCGCAATGACCGCTGGATTCGAGAAACGGAATTGCTCCCATAGATGGCAGCACCATATGGTCATGAGCCTCTCAAGTTCCTGGCACGCTGAAAACTTCGTTACATTATTAACACTGAGCACGTAATGTTTAGTTAAGCGACGTGTTGTGTCAGTTTGATGGAATTGGTTTAGTTTCAGTTGAACTGCAGGTCTACTACGAGCCATTTTCGGGGCCGCGGCATTTATGGCGCTAAAATGGTGTATATGTTTGGGTTAAGAAGTCTGTGGATCATCATCTTTGTGCTTTATATTTGCTGGTAAACAATATTTTATCAAACAACTTAGTTTTTAGTTTTAGACTTGGTTTTAGAAATTTTTTTTACATTTTTGTATTTTCAAGGTTTAATTGTGTGTGAGACTTTACCTCCATTTCACCATCTTTTCCCTTCTTCACTACTTCAGTTCAATTTTGCTGCACATCAGCCAGAGTGTACATACAGCTGCTGGGGTGCGCTAATTGGTGCATGTGCACTCAAGTGGTGTACAAAGTGGTGTTTGCAGGCCATGTGAGAAGATGATGGGTTCTTTTGTGAAGATCCTAGCAAGCTGCATTTTGAATTTTGATCATGTTCCACAAGTTCACATAGCATTATCTGACTGATGTTCCAATCCATTTGGTACAACTGTGTATCATGGAGCCTCTGAGTACATAAGTATTATTTTTGGTTTCTCCTATGTTGTGTCATTCTCTTGAACCTTATAGATTTATGTGAATTTAGATTGGAGCATGTTGTGGTGGGCACAGAAACCGATTGTGTGCAATGCCAACCCCAGAACAATGTACATGGTTTGGATGTGTGGCAGCCCATCCACTTTCACAATTTTGCATCTTGCAATATCTCTTAGTTGTGAATGTATGGCTTATATTGGCTGTTATACTTATGCGTGAAAAGTAATCCTGGCAGCTGTGCACAGAGCAGTTGGTCTTGGAACCTGTGTGTATCTCACTATATGCGTGTGTGTGTGTGCTGACCTGGCCGCCCTCCAGTGCCAGCGTCGGCTGACCACTGACGGCGCGCCCGTCGGCTCCGTTCCCAGCGTTTGCAGGTGTCGATGACGGCGCCAGGCCAGGTCACCACCGTGGTGCAGACGCCCACCGGCGACTTCCAGACGTATTCGGACACGGTGGGCCCGGTCCCGCCGCCGCCGCCGCCGCCGCCGCCTCCGCAGCAGCAGCAGCAGCCGCCACCACCGCAGCCGCAGCAGCCGACGGCCGGCGCGCCCGGCGCCGCCCCCAAACCCAGCCACCAGCCGAGCGGCCAGCCGCCCAGGTGAGGGGCCCGATTGCGCGCGTCTTGGGTTGCGCGTTATTAGGCAGAATGCTGACAATGAGGCGACCAGTACTGAACAGATGTAGGCTGTCACAATGGTGTAATGTTTGAGCCGCCCTATTTGCTCGCGAGGGTTTGCCTTTGCACGGCCCAGCTGGCCTGCAGTATCGGCGCGCCCCGAAGCCCGTTGCGCAGCTGCGTTAGTGTGACGCGGAACAGTATTGTGACCGGCCCCTGTTCGTGGCACAGGAGCAACTACGGCACCAACAACATCCTGTCTTCGTTGGGCGGCCCGTCGGGCGCCGGCGGCGGCCACCATGTCACCTCGCACCACTCGTACAACCAGCCACCGCCGGCGCCGGTGGTGCCGCAGCCGGCGCCGGCCGTCGCCACCGCCGCTGCCGCCGCCGCAGCCGCAGCCGCGGCCGCGGCCGCGGCTGCCAACATGCCCAACCAGGGCGTGGGTGGCGCGCAGCAGAGCCAGCCGGTCGAGTTCAACCACGCCATTAACTACGTCAACAAGATCAAGGTGCGAGAACTCAGTGGGGACTCGGTGTCATACCGCTCAGTGGGGACTCGAGGCGGCGGGGATTTTGGCAACGGCCCTTAACTGTGCACATATGACGTCGCCGGTCGCCGGGCCAGGGTCGGGGCTCAGATACACCGTGGCCTGCCTTGCATCATTTGTATTATCTCCAGTTCGGCGGCGCTTTTTCCACGGTGAAGGCCAAGATACGGGCTGCAGACGTGTCCCACCGGGAGTTCAACTTGTGCCAGGCGCCGCTGGCGCGGACGGCCCCAGTCTGTCTGACGTGGCTCCTGCTGGCGCTGGCCGGCCCCAGTTCGTCTGACGTGACTCCTGCTGGCTCTGGCCGGCCCCAGTTCGTCTGGTCTGACGTGGCTCCTGCTGGCTCTGGCCGGCCCCAGTCTGTCTGACGTGGCTCTTGCGGGCTCCGGCCCGTACCCAGCCGGTCCCAGTCTGTCTAACGTGGCTCCGTCCGCTGCGGCAGCGTGGCTCCTACGGGCTCCGGCTGACCCGGCCCGGCCCGGCCCGCTCCCGCTTACGCCGGCCCTTCCTCCTGCCGCCAGAACCGGTTCCAGGGCCAGCCGGACGTTTATAAGCAGTTCCTGGAGATCCTGCACACGTACCAAAAGGACCAGCGCAGCCTGAAGGATGGTCTGCCGCCCAGCGGGCCTTCGTTGACCGAGACGGAGGTGTACGCCAAGGTGGCCACCCTCTTCCAGAGCCACGAGGACCTCATGGACGAGTTCGGGCAGTTCTTACCAGACGCCACCAACGGCAACGCTATCACCGCCGTCAACGTGAGTCGCTCGTGCTTCGGTGCCGACGGAACAGCTGGCGGCGCCGAGGTGCTGGCTGAGGACCCCACCAGCGCTCGGTCTTACAAGCTACAGCGATAGTTACACGCCGATTGCCCCGTTTCATTTGCAGCATGTCTGGTCTGGCCGTGCCGTGTTCCGCGATGGGAGCTTAGCTGAGTTTCGGGCCGCCTGTTTCCCTTGGAAATCTAGTTTCCACACCCCGATTTGCGACACTCCCTCCTGGTGCTCTACTGTGCGTCCGGTGACGGGAGGCGGGCCCGGCATCTGTTGCTAGGCGCAGCCTGTCTCCGTGTGCTGCAACTGGAAATGTGTCGTAACCCAGTGCGCGACCTTGTCGCCAACCATGTGTAACCTCGCCGTGAACTTCGGCAGAACTCTCGCTCTGTGAATCAGGATCACGCCCTGGGCCTGAAGAAGCCCATGAAGCCAAGCTTCCAGCCGACGGCGAAGCAGCAGCTAAAGCGGCCTCTGCCGACGCCGCCGGTAGCGTCCGTGCCCAGCAAGAAGCCGCGTGTTGGCGTCGGCGTAGTCAAAGACGTGACTTTGGCCGAGGCCGGCAAGTACGCGTCGCTCAACGAGTACGCCTTCTTCGACGAGGTGAGTGGGTACCGGCCGGCCGAGGAGCGGTGAGGGGCGGAGCAGCCGGCCGGGAGCGGCGTGACCGCTGGTGGTCAGGCCCGGGCAGTGGATATTTGGCCAAGGTATTGCTATTTTCTCTGAAAGGAGACTTGCGGCATTGCGGAAACTGCTTGGATCAGTCGGTGAGGCGTTTGTCGATGACCGTGTGCCCAGTTGTGCCGGAGCCCGGCTTCCTGACGCGACTGTGGTGGCCCCTCCGGTACAGCCAGCACCAGTGACCCCAGCGCCAATGGCCCTCAAAGGTGTCGTGCGTCGAGAAATAGTCCAACAATCTGCTGATGCCACAGCTGCCTGCCTTTTTCGGCCGCATACACATTCTTGTGCACGACTTAGGTTTTTGTGGAAACTACAAATGTTGTTTGTCCAGGCATTTCATTGTCAAAATTGCGAGCGTTCCGATTGGTTCAACACTCTAAGTCCCGTTCATGTTAACCAACTGACTACAGAATCCGCTGCAGGTTCTGCAGTCAGTTGTTGCCGACTGGAGGGGTCGCATTTAAGCATGCTGGTCCGCAAGGGGAGATACAAGTATCTCGGAAGTGGTGCGCAGCGGCGGAATTCTACAGAGTCCTGAGCAGACTCTTCAGTTGTCAGGCGTTGTAGAACTAGAGCGGTACCGTTTGTACCACTGGTGACTTGCGGGCGTGCGGACTGAAATGCGGCACCTCCAGTCTGCAACATCTGACTTGCTGCAGGAGCTGTGGCGGATTCTGCAGCTTGTGCGCAAGGTGTGAACGGAGCCTTAAGTTGAAAGCATGTTCCAAAAGTCCAGTTAGATGCTGATGCTTCCGTGCCCTTAAAGTTTCAACAGAATGGTGGCCGGTGGTTGTCACTGGCAGCGCGCGTTCCTTGCAGCTGTCCGCTACGCCCCCAGGCCCCATGTGGGGTGGCTCTTCGCCATCGTCGCCTGGTGCGTCCGTTCCTGCCGTTGTGTGGCGGCCGCAGCCGGAGACGATGGCCGTCCGGGCGGCGCGGCCTGTGTCCGCTGCGCGTGTGGCCGTGGCAGGCGGTGGGCGGCCGTGGCGAGCCGGAGTGGAACGTCCGCCCTCGCGCCGGGAGCGGGCGTGGCCGACGGCCGGTCCCGAGCCGTCAGCCAGGCCGAGGCCGTCGCCTGTGGGGCTGGCCCGAGCGCCCATCACGGTGGGCTGGGCTGATGCCTGCTGCCACCAAAGCATGCCCGGCTGTTCTGCAAGCGTGGGGCTCATAGACCACTGGCACGCCTTCTTCGGCTTGCGGTTATTTGCGAGCGTTTACGGCCGACGTTATTGATGTAGCGGTGGGTTTCGTGACTGTTTTCGTCCTCGAGCCTTTCTGGAAAGTGTGCGGTCATTCTTACCTTTGCTCGTGCTGTCCTAATTCGAACTGCAATTGCTGCAAACTCGGCGTAGTTAGTTGCACCCGTTGCAAATACTTACGTCATTTTTGCTGCAGGTGAGGAAGACACTGAAAAACCAAGATTCTTACAACAACTTTTTGCGCGTGCTCTCCCTGTACAACACGGAGATCATATCTCGGCTGGATGTCATCCAGTTATTGTCACCATTCCTCGGAAAAGTAAGCAGCAGCTTCACCTGAAGTTTAGCTCCGTTATTTTGCAGCTTCATGACTTTGCTCTCATTGCTGTTATGTATTGTTTAGTCCCCTGTGTTTGCTCTCCGCCTAGCTTTGTTGGAATTTGAGTTCTGCGTCGATCCACCTCACCATGTTGCGCGGCCATTTTACATCATCTGTCCCTGTTTCGACATGTGGGCGTGGTTGTGCGGTTCCGCCCCCGGCGCCCTGCTCCGGGGCTCAGCTGGCGCGCAGTCCTGACCCTCCCCCCCCCCCCCTCCCCCGCAGCAGCCGGTCTTGCTGAAGTGGCTGAAGGATTTCATGGGTGTCAAGGAGGGCCGCGAGACGGTGGAGCCCATCCCGCTGGGCATGGCCAAACAGGAGCGTGTCTCCGGTGATCAGGCCATCGAGATAGGTACGTACCGCCTCCTCCCTTTCCCCTCGGCCGACGCACCGCGCGCCCACAGTCACGAGGCGCGCGGCCGAACGCCTGTGTCTGCGAGGACAACCGCCCAAGCTGGTGTCAAGGAGCCATCTGGCCGGCGAAGTAAATTAAGTCTTTCCAACATGCCGATAGTGATGAGTTGGTCTGGCGTTACCGCCCCACGCGTGGTCGGTGCCCATGAACTGTGTAAGCGCTGAGCTGGCGTGGCCGCCGCTCCCGTCCCGTCAGGCGTCACGGTGTCAGTGGCACAGCCCACCTGACCGCCCGCCTCCCTGCGGCAGACTACTCCACGTGCAAGCGTCTGGGCGCGTCGTACTGCGCGCTGCCCAAGTCGTACCCGCAGCCGCGCTGCTCGGGCCGCACCCAGCTCTGTCGCGAGGTGCTCAACGACACCTGGGTGTCGTTCCCCTCCTATTCGGAGGACTCGACGTTTGTTACGTCACGCAAGACCCAGTACGAGGAGTACATCTACCGCTGCGAGGACGAGCGGTTTGAGGTGAGAGGCGCCGACGGCAGCGGCGCGAACTCGGCGCCAGCGCTGGCCAGCCGGCCAGGGGTCCGCGCTGTGACGCCGGTCAGTCTGGCGCAGTGAAGGGCGGGCTCATGGTTTTTATGTGACGGGGTGAGGAGAATTTGATAAACTGAACGCCATGCTCAAGTCTGCTCCGTGAAGGATTTTTTTTCATTTTTGTCTGAAGCCTGTCACCCAGGTGAACGCCTGTTTCGCGTAACCACTTACCTTGTGTTTGCCACGGATGAAGCTGCATGGCGTCCGTTGGAATGCCCTTAAGTAAAAGGACCCAGGGCTTGTTATTCGGATTGAGCCCCTACCATATACTAGCTAAAGTACCGGCTCATGCGGATTCGGACGGCGTCTGCCGTCTCGGGACCCCCTGATCATGTCCCTCCCCCCCCTGCCCGCCGCAGCTGGACATGGTGCTGGAGACAAACCTCTCCACTATCCGCATCCTGGAGGGCGTGCAGAAGAAGTTGTCGCGGATGGCGCCAGAGGACGCGGCGCGCTACCGGCTGGACGACTGTCTAGGCGGCACCTCGCCCACCATCCACCAGCGCGCCGTGCGCCGTATCTACGGCGATAAGGCCACCGACATCGTCGACGGCCTGAAGAAGAACCCGATCGTGGCCGTGCCTGTGGTGCTGCGCCGACTCAAGGCCAAGCAGGACGAGTGGCGCGAGGCGCAGAAGGTGAGCGGAGCTGTTCAAGACAGTGGGAGCCTCACAGAACGACTGGATTGTGGCGCGAAACGGATATTCAGGTGCGGTAAAAGGGGTGGATAAGAAAAACTTTGTAGGCCACAAATGGGATGGTATGTAGCGAACTCTCACTCAGACCCCCGCTGTCTGTGCCTCAGTATTCCCGCGGAGGAGGAGTCCGTCCACATTATCGCGAGCTGGGTGTCTTGATGTGTTTTCGTCCTGTCGTCAGGGCTACAACAAGATCTGGCGGGAGCAGAACGAGAAGTATTACTTGAAGTCGCTGGACCCGCAGGGGGTCAACTTCAAGCAGAACGACGTGAAAATGCTGCGCTCGAAGGCACTGCTCAACGAGCTGTACACGCTGTTCGACGAGCGTCACGAGCAGCTAGAGGAGGCGGGTGACCCGTCGTCGAGCGGCGGTCCACACACAGAGTTCGTGTACGCCAACAAACACCTGCTGAACGACGCTGCGAACCTCATCATCCACCACGTGAAGCGGCAGACGGGCATCCAGAAAGAGGACAAGGCCAAGATCAAGCACCTGCTGCGCCAGACGCTGCCTGGCATGTTCTATCACCCCAAACAGGAGCTCAGCGACGACGAGCGCGACGACGACGACGAGGGTGAGCGGCGGCCCGCTGGTGGCTGGGGCGGGTTGAGGCGTGCTGGTTCTGGGACACAATGCTCGGCAGCCCATCTGCTCACCTGTCTGTCGGACACGGCTGCCGGCACTGCGCGGCCGTGCTACCTGAGGCGTGCGAATCTCTGGTACCACTGGAATAGGTCGTCCCGGCTGGACATATGCCAGTGTTTGTGCGCGCGTGTTTATGTTTGTGTTTGTGCGTGCCAGTGTTAGCGTCCCGGCTGGATGTATGTGTGTGTGTGCCGCGCCTGACTTGTAATCGCCGCGTGGTTCTGTTGGACCGGTGCGTGACACCACAGACTGACCTCTGCCGCCAGCTGACGCCGACGACGAGTCTGACGACGACGAGGCCTCGCGGCCGTCAGAGCGGCGCACGCGCAGCCAGAAGCTGCGCCGCTCCGAAGCGCGCCGCGGCCCCGAGCGTAAGCTGAACGGTGCGCCGGGCGCCGCCGATCCCGGTGAGCCGGCCGTCGACGACGACGCCGGCGAGTGTTACACGCTTTTCATGGCAAGCAGCAACTGGTATCTGTTCCTGCGGCTGCACCACATCCTGTGCGAGCGGCTCAATAAAATCTACGAGCGCGCCGTCATCATGGCAGCCGAGGAGGAGCAGAACAAGAAGCTGCGCACAGAGTCCACAGCCATCGCGCTCCGCCTCAAGCCCAAGAGTAAGTGCCGCGGCTGTGGCGCCTGGGTTGGCGGCGGCGTTCGCGGTCTGGCTGGTGCTGCTTTGTGGTGTGTGGGTTCGGCTAGAGTGTTCTGGTTTGGATGTAACACTTCCAGCTGCCGCTTCACCCTGCTTCTGTGGATAACACCCGTCTACTTGTTTGATTGCCGTCGCTTCGTTCACACAGGGCTTCGTTGATTGCAGTATTGAATCTGCCGTGGTGTCGTACACCAGTTCCGCGTCCAGTCTTTGTCGGCTGTGGTGACGTTAACTTCTTTCAGGTCGGTGTCCGGCTGAACAGATGCATTTCAGGTGATCTCCGACCTTAACGCACCGATTTTCTTTCAGACGAGATCGACATTGAGGATTACTACCCCGCCTTCCTGGACATGGTGAAAAACGTATTGGACAACAACATGGACTCTTCTCAGTTTGAGGACACCCTCCGTGAGATGTTCGGCATCCACGCGTACAATGCCTTCACCACGGACAAGATCGTCTCGGGCGCTGTGCGCCAGCTGCAGCACATCGTTACTGAGACCGTGAGCGTTGTTCGGACGACGGGCTGGTGCGGTGTGGGTCCTGCGGCGCTGGTGGTGGCCCGCTGTCGTGTATCGCAGCGCAACGAGTCGGTGGCCGTCTTTCAAAGGCGAATCGCGAGCAGAGTTCGGTATATGGCAATGCATGCAGACTCCCATAGTTTCATTTATTCAACCTGGTGTATTTGCAGACTAGCAGTTTGGTACATGTTTTTTTATTGACATTGGTGGAAACAACACGCGAAGTCGCGCTGTTTCGTGTATACATGTGGCAAGCTAGCCTCCTTCGTTGCAGTTCGATCTGTGTGTGTGCCTTAATGGACATTAGTTGAAACTGAACACGCAAAGTAGCGCGACGTCTGTGTTCATATGGCTTCCTTTATTTAGATTCATTTAGTTTTTTTTTTCTTTTGGGTCAACTACGATGCTTATTTGCGCCCACTTCTTTTTGACTGCATGGTGACTCCGAACCTCCTGAGCAGCAGTGGCCCACGCACTTGTTTGTTGTTATCTTGGCAACGTCGTTGTTTTCTCACCGTTCCCCTCTTTTTCTAATAGCTGCACATAACTGGGCTTTTGTTTGTCTCGCGCTCAGGTTATCCCAACTGGCCGTGACGTCTGGATTCCTGCGCGCTGCTCTTCCGTCACCAGTAGCTGCCCATAACGCGTGTCGTGTATTGCGCCACAGGTGGCTCAGATGACTCTGAAGGAGTACCTGCTCGAATCGGCGAACGGTGGCGCCGGCGGGCCCTGTGTCGCCGCCGAACAGCGCGAAGCTCGTGAGACGGCCTACACCAAACGGGTCGAGCAAATGCTGACGGAAGAGAACGAGCACTGCATGAAAATATACCTGGTCAGTAGACTGATATTGGCATTGGTATTATTGACATTGGTATTATCCTACACATAGCACAAAATACGCTGACATAAGTAGGACAATACTGGATTTTTTTCTGGTAGTAGCGTGTTCTGGAGGAATTGTACCCCGAACTTCTTTGGAGCTTATTTGTTGATGTAAGTGTATCAGTTCGCGCGTTGCCTATTGTAGCTCACGTTCACAGGTTTCTTCCATCCGCGCAGAGGCTGCAGCAGCCATCGGCGGACTGTGTTGTGTGTTTGCGTCATTAGGGCTTTACGACGCACTCAGCTGCTGAGGCTATATGGCGTCGCCTACGTCTCACCCTGGCAGGAAGGGCGGGCACTGCGGAGAATCGAACCCCGTACCTCTGATTTCCCAGACGTGCAGTGGTTAACGCAAATGCGCTACCCACTACACCACCGGCACCCCGGCGGACTGTGTTACATCTGCCGCGCCGTGCATGTCAGCGTCGCCGTGTACTCACTATCTGACGCGTCCCGTGACTCGGCCGCCAGTTCAAAAACGCGGCGCGCATGACGGTCGAGCTGCTGGACACGACCGACTCGGAGGACTCTGAGGACTGCTTCAACGAGGAGAAGCGCCGCTCCAACTACCAGGAGAAGTACGCCTCGCCGAGCCACCATACCGACGACGAGCTGAAGGCGCAGAACATGAACCTGCCGCTCTTCCTGCCGCGCATCGTGCGCCGCATGCGGCGGCTCGTCTTCCCGCCGGGCGTCGGCGTCAAGCGCGAGCGCGACGACACCACGCCCACCTCGTCCGGCGACAGGTCAGCCGCGTGTGGGTCCGCCCGTCCGCGCGAGCCCGCGTCGATAGTGGCTCGATGAGCCTGCCGCGTCCGGCCAGTAGCTGTTCATACTGCGGCGCCGACCGACCACCGACAGCCGATCGATGGCCAGACGGCGGCCCGTTCAGTCGGAGGCCGGCGGCGACCGATCAGGGGGCGGTCTGTCGGGCGCCGGACCGCTCGCTGCGGGGCCGGGGACGGGAGTCGTTAGCCCGGTCTCGGTCGCCGTGTCCGGGAAGGAGCGGCGCCGGCCGGTGTTGGTCGGGCGTACCGCTGACGGTGACCTCGCGCCGCCAGGGACAACGATGACGAGTCAAGCATGGACGTGGACGCCGGCGACGCGTCGCCCGACGCCAGCCGCAAGCCCAAGCGGAAACCGGAGCCGCTCGACATCGACGGCGACGAGCACTTCAAGCTGGCCGCCAACTACCGCATGATGCGTGTGGTCGACAGCGGGGACTATCTGCACAAGCGGGGCGCGCTCACCAAGGCCCGACGGGTGAGCACTGGGCGTGGCCGGCGAACACCCGGCCATGCGGGAGTCGGCACAGCGCGAGTTAGCCTTGCTTGCTGACCACGGCTTCCATTACTGGGTTTGGAAGGGAACGTTGCATTTTCTTTAAGCATTGTTCTGTTGCGTTCTTGGGTACCGTCCATGAACCCTGGACATTTTGCTTTTCACTGAGCTGTTTTGCAACTGTGGCATTGAGTCGGGAGGGACGCTTCGAGACGTGATGTGGTTTCTGTTCCTGTGACAGCCGCTGCCGTGCTCTCACCAGAGCCCAACTCAGCAGGTCAGTGCTGTAAGGGTCATACGGCGCCCCCGCCCCAGCGTGCCGCCCGGCACCGCACGTGCCCCCATTGGCCGCCCCCTGCCGGTGCTGACTGGCCCGTGCCCCCGTGCCTCGCCGCCAGACGCACTGCCAGGTGTCGTGCCATCTGAGCGCGCGGTTCCGCGCCTGGCACGACCGGTGGCTGGAGCACCACGTGTCGGCGCGCCAGCAGCAGCTCTGCACCGACTGGCTGCTGGGCCGGCTGGACGGCATCAAGCCCAGCCGTACCAGCGTGCTGCGCAACAACGACCTGCAGCGGGCGCCGTACGCGCCCTACAGCCGGTACCGGGTCGAGTGGCTGGAGGTCGGCCCGCCCCCGCCAGCCTCCAGTGTTGCCGCGATTGACAAGTGAACGCGCGCCACCGAAGGTGTCTTGTGCGACCGGAGGGCGGCGGCTGGTCCCGGCCTCCGCCGCCACCGCGCTATTGACGTGAACTGTGCCTGTCGGACGCTCGCCGACGGCGGACTAAGTCAGCCAGGCAGACAGCACGCGGCGACGACAGTGATCGGAGAGGCGCGCCGGCGCCGGCGCGTGGCGGCTGCGCTCGTCGGGGTGCCGCACCGCCGACCGCGCAGAGTGCGGAGATGGCGGCGCGGGGGCTGCGAGCTGCGGCGGAACTCCCCGGCTGCACCCTGGCCTAGTGTTTGTGTGTTGGAGGAATACTTGAACCGTGACGCATTTGGACGGGCCGACCGCGTCCCGGATGGCGGCGCGGAGACAAACAGCAGGCCGGCTGTGATTGGCTGACCACGGCCGGCGCCGCACGTACAAAGCCGTCCGGCCCGCCTCGCGGCGCCGCGATAATTTATAAATGATGTTTGTACCGTGTTTGGTCGTGTATTGACCGCCCATTGCCTCTGACGATTCAAGTATTCTGTCTTATTGTACTGTCTTTAAGTGTAAGTGCTCACTTGTCTTGAACTTAGATATAGAATACATCGCTGGCGGCCAGGCAGTTATCTGTGTGTCCGGTGTCCAGTATCCGGCACCCATGTCACCCGCACGTGGGCCCGGGGATATCGAGACGACGGGTAACGCATGGAGGTGTGCTCGGTCCCTCAGAGCGACACCAGACGGAAGAAGTGCCAGTTTGTCAGTAATATTCACTGACAGAGCTGCTGATCAGTGCTGGATGCATTCGCTCGGCGCCGCGGGTATATTCTGTAAAGGCTTTTGTCGACGTCATGGGAGCTGTATCTGGCATCGGTGGGTCGGCCGTATGGCCAATATGTGACAACAACACCGCATATTGGATAGCGCTATGAGACATCCCGCTCGATGAAGCAGAGTAAAAAGTAGACAATCCAATCGCTAGAGTGAGGTCATCTAAGCGGACATTGTCGCACCACATGCACTAGGCGTGATGTTTCCTGATGCGTTTTGGCACTTGCTGCCCACCCGCCCAACTGCCGCGCTACTCCGCCCAGATCTGCGGACCTGAACCGTCCGCAAGGGTGCCGCACGGCCCGGTCGGCCATCACGGCGCTTTCACCCGGCCGAAACCGAAACCAGTCCATCCTGGTGAAGTGGAGTGGAGTGGAATGGACCAGGCAGGCAGGGTGTTCAGTGGGTCTGCTCGGCGGCGGGCCGCCGGCCGGCTGCCGAGCGGACCCACTGAATAACCTGTAGGGCAGCTGCCGCCGGCCCACCCATACTGGACTCTTCAGCGATACGGGCAGCGGGCGCATTCCGCTCCTCAGTCCTCGGCCAGTGGCGGCGGACCGGTGAGGACCTCGACGCCGTCCTCGGTGATGAGAACGGTGTGCTCAAACTGGGCCGAGCGGCTGCCGTCGGCCGAGACGGCCGTCCAGCCGTCCTCCAGCAGCACCACCTCCCGGCCGCCCTGTCGGCAGCGACGGCGTCCGGTCAGCGGACCACTCCAGCGCACTCCACAGACAGCAGCGCGCTGATGCCGATTAATCTGCGAGCTGGTCAATAGCGTCGACGCCACGAAGCCGACGTGTCGATCGCGCATGCAAGGTCCTGTCTTGTGGCTGACAGCATTGACGTGGGCTACTACCCCACCTGGGCAATACCCCACCTCCACTACCCCTCGTATCGAATATGCCCTGGCCATGCTCTGTCTGCGGGCCCCACTCAGACCAGTACCAGCGCAGACGACGTCGAAACAACGCCGATCATCGGCGTGCCGCGGCTCGCACCAACCCCGGACGCCCCATCGCCAGACGCGCAGCCCTGCCGCACTCGGCGGCGGCCCGCCGGAGCCACTCCGCCCGTGACCGGGAACCGCTGCGCCCCGCCCACCTGCGTGACGACCGGCTCGATGGTGAAGGTCATGCCCGGCTGCATGGTTCCCGGGTACGTGTTCCAGCAGTGGTACACGTCCGGCGGTCCGTGAAAGTACGTGCCGATGCCGTGACCGATGAAGGCCGGCACCACCGCATGGTCGGCGTAGGCGGCCGTGGTCTCGACGCGCCCGCCTGGCCGGAGAGAGCGAAGGTTGGCATGATGGCCGAGGCACGCGCTGCTCCAACTCGGTGACGACAGTGCGTGGACGGCGGCGCCCCGTGTCGGTGGCGTCAACACTGAACACATGTCGATTTTGGCTCGGCTGTCTCGGCTGCCGCCCAACGCTAATCGCTGATCATATATCACGCACTAGTGTAAAAGCGCATACACCGACGCTGATGCCGGATGGGAGTTTTACGACGCAGCGACTTCTGTAGCCATTTTGCACCCATCCACTGACACTGGAGAGGTTTTCAGCGTTGTGCGGCCATGCGACGACCTATCTGCACCAGTCACCGCCTTACCGATGTCTGAGAACGGCATGCCGGGTCTGCAGAGGGCAACGGCGTCGTCCAGGCAGCGGCGGGCCACGTCCAGTAGGCGCCGGCCGCGTGCGTCCACCTCACCAACGGCGTACGTCTCTGAACAGTCGCCGTTATGACCGTCCAGGTACACCTGGCGCACAGGCACGGAGCTCAGTCGGCTGCACGACACGGGGCAGTGCGCTGGCAGCACACTGCAGTCGATCAGCGTCAGCGAAGGCATGGGTCACGAGAGCCACGCCGTTAAGGCCACAGCTGCCGAAGACACCCCTCCACGAATGGTCCGCTCCGAGTCTGCGTCTGCGACTCCCGGTCCCCAAGCCCGATCTCACCCGAAACGTCTCTCCCAACGCTGTCGCGTCGGCGCTGAACCCCGGCTGCAAGCACCCCACCACTCGTCCCGATCCCATTTTGCCACTGCTGAGCTGGGGCGACGCCCGCCGCCCACCGTAACGTCGATGTTGACGATGTCGCCGCTGCGGAGCGGCCGGTCGTCCGGGATGCCGTGGCAGGCCACGTTGTTGACGGACGTGCACACCGACTTGGGGAAGCCGCGGTAGTTGAGCGGCGACGGGTAGGCGCCGTGCGCCACCGTCAGCTGGTGCGCCAGCTGGTCGATCGCCTCGGTGGTCACGCCCGGCTGGGAGCGAGGGCCGCGTCAGATGACCGGGTCGGGCCTCGAAGAGGACACAGAAGATCCACCCCTGGCTCCGCAGACCAGATATTGGCAGCCTAAGAAGGCCATCACAGCCATGGCCCGACAGTTCCTGGGATATTTGGACCATTCTATTGGCTGCAATGGGGACAAACAAAGTAACGATCACATCACATTGCCAATGCCATCTGACATCTGGCGATTACAAAAGCAGCTTGGGTACTTCTTGGCCTGAAAAGGGCCCAACTGCGGTAGACATGGGCACGTGGGATTTCTGGTCTCTAACGCTCATATTTAGTGGATTGGATACATGCAAGCAATGCAACAGCACCCAAATATGCACAGTAAGTGGTGAGGACAAGGTTGATAATGCTGGTGTGCTGTGTTATGTTATTCAGCCAGTGTGAAAACTGTCTCACCTTTGCAAGATGTTTTACTGAATGCAGTATTTTGCTGGCCAGTCTGCATGCTCGTCTCATTTTTTGTATGCTGTCTTCCGTCTTGCATTCGGCGATATTGGGCGGGGTGGGAGGCGCGCCCGAGTCAGCCCACGGCGGACTTTTGATGTGCTCTGGCACCAGCTGGGCAGGCAAAACCTTCCCTGGCTCAACCACCTCGAACCGTCCAAAACGCGAGCTGAGATGGTGATCATGCTTAGGAACATTGTGTGGGAGCAACTTTCCATACATTTTCAATGGGGCTCAAAAACCAATCACCCTGAACTGTGAAGTGGGCTCTGAAATGTTTCACTCCTGATCTGACCTGATCTGTTCAATCCGACCTCTGATCTAATCAAATGCACAAACCATTGAGAGCACTATGAGCACATCCCGCACTTTTAATGCTTGATTTGACGAGCTCTGAATGCAGACGCGAGCAACAATGCTTCGAAGACCTTAGTGGCTACTTCAAGCTCTCTAGTGCATAAGAGACAAAATGCTTCAACTACCATGGAGTACTCTAAGGCCAATAGTACAGTGACCATCTTAGTTATATTACCCACATGATTCCTCATCACCGATGGAGACATGTCTGGACCAAATTTCAATAGCTTTCTTACCTATTAGCTTGTGTTCCCAAATTCCAAAACGAAAAACATCGTCTGCGATTTCGCAGCACCGACGCATCAGAAATGAGGCAGCAAGGGAGGCTGCGAAAGAGCATATTTCAAACGAATGTGATGGTCCTAGCGTCCAGCAAACAAATGACGCAGTAATCTAGCTACCACCAGCACATTTGACGAAACGATCATCTAACCCACAATAGCATGAGGTCTTGCCGCGATCCACTTAAGGTTTCACTCAACGAGAAAAGCTTCTGCATTATTTGTAACGGACTAGCCATATGTGTCTTCAAATTCTCAAGACTTTTAAATTATGGAACGTGTTTTTATTCTAGCATTTCTTTGAATTTGTGTTGTAAAATGTATTGCATTGCTTTGGAAAAAATATCTTACTGAATTTATTATGTTACCCTACTACATTGATATCAACAACTGAATATTACAGATACAAGAACGGTTGGTTGCGCTTATAACGCGTATGTGACAAAGCCGAATGCTACATCGTTGCCTGTAAATCACCGTGGCCCTACCAATAACTGCCACGTAGTCGAGCTCGGTCAACCCGAGGGATTACTGAGGTTAAATGTGAGGAAGAGTACTGAGACTGCGTACATGGGCCGTGAGACTCCTCGCTGTTTGCTGCGTTCCTAATTGGATGCGCAAGGCATCATTGCGTGACTTGCATCAAACGTCACCTTTGTTGTTTGATTTCGCAGTTCTTGGTGCTTATCCCTATGTGCAAGTATACGGACAAAATGCACTGGAATTTTCATAAAGTGTCATTTTTTCTCCTCCAAGCTCTCATGATTTTCCATTGGGTAAGGCCTGGAGGGGCTGCATATGATGATGACTTGAATTGCATGGGTAAGTGTCAGGTGCTCAGTTTTATCAGAATACTGGCTGCTGTACAAATTATTGCATGTTTGCCATTATTTCTCACTGTCTATGTGCTTCTGTCCTTGTGTTGTTGCACATTGTTATGCAGTGTTGCATATGGTGTAGGTAACATTGCTGCACAGTATTACCATGAAAACATAATTGTTATTGTGTCTCACAAAGTGTTTTGGTGGGGGTGGAGGAGCAATGCCACAGTTGCTACAGACCAAGCATTTTCCTATCAGTTGTAGTGAGTAGCAGTGATGGAGATGGTGCACAAATTTTGACAGGATTTTTGGGGTGCATCAACTGCAGTGGGTCATGCAGGATTTTATTATACTGAATTTGAGATTTGTTCCCTGCATCTTGTGCACTGTTTGATTTGCATTGTGTTCTTTCAGTTTGTGAAGTTGTAGTGGATGAAGTGGAGAAGGCTGTTGCTGCTATTGATCCAAAAAAAGTGATTGACTTGGGAGGAAGATTGCAGGCAGATGGATCCCGGAAAACAATAAAGGTATTTCTTGCTAATGTTTATATATATATATATATATATACATAGATGTTCATTTTATGCAAATAACCACTGTTTGCTGTACTCCTTAATACATGTATGTTAAGAGCCACAGGAAACTGTGCCAAGGGTGTGCATTGTAAATTGGTGTATATTGCAAAGTGTAGCAGTATGCAAAGGTATGTATTGCTACAGTCTGCTTAGTTGGTGTTGGCTATTTGTAGTTTCACTGTTGTTTAGAATGTACAGTTAAGTATAAGTGTAATAGCTGGAATGCTCAAGCTGTCTTCCTACATTTTTGGGTATTTGGGTCTCATCAGGAAGTTTGTTGGGTTGTCCTACCTGTACACCTCATTGAGATGTGCAGTGCAAACTTCTGGTACTAATTTTAGTGACTGACTGGTACCTAGCTTAATATGTAGCAAATTTTAGCTCTGTCAATTGGTTTTTCTGTCTGGCATGATGTGGAAGTACATTCAGGGATACCATACACTCAATGTGAGTATGCCTGGATTTCAGTGGCTATATCACAGATCACATGTGGTTCTTTGGTAGGAGGATCCATGTTCTGAACCTGTGCTTCCATGTCTTGGCTCAATACATTGCAAGTTACAATATTGTCTTGCTGATTCAGAAAGTCATCATTGCTCTCATATGTGAGACAACTTATTTATCCCTGCCTAAGGTAAGAGATAATTTGAAACCAAAGTAGCAAATGCTTTCCAGGGCATAAATATATCAAATCTTTGTGTCACACATGCTTCACATTTCAGAAACAGTACCGGAGATCTGAGCTGCACCTGGGTGAAGTCCTAGAGACAGTTTGTGAGAAGATGGATGACTATGCCCAGGGTCACTGGAAGGATACAGGCAGGAAAGATCTGCTGCCAATCATCATTGATGGTGCCATGAACCCTAGGATGTCAGAATTTGAACTTCTACAAGATTCAAATCTGAACAAAGGCATCAAAGATTATGTAAGTTGTTGAGTGTGGATCCTATATATCAATGTAATGTGATGCCTTCAGTCACACAAAGGCTTCTGGACAACAGTCTGCTGTGGTAAATACAGTGTTGCGTTTGCACGCACAATCACCAAGTGCCTATTCCTATTGAAGATGTCTAAGAGGTTCCATATTGTAATGGAAAGGTTGATCATTTTGGTGTGTGGTCATTCTTGGCTTTATTATGCTGGCCGCTCATTATCCTTTTCATTTCTGCACCACAGACTTTGGGGTGCTGGTAGTGTGGTGGTTAACACGTCTGTGTTAACCAATGCGCGTCTGGGAAACCAGAGGTACGGGGTTCGATTCCCCGCGGTGCCCGCCCTTCCTGCCAGGGTGAGAGGCAGGCGACGCCATATAGCCTCAGCAGCTGAGTGCGTCGTAAAAGCCCCAATCACACACACACACACACACACACCACGGACTTTGCAGCCGCATATAGTACAGCTATCCACAGTTATGTTGTCATCTCGGTGATGGTGGTGCCGCCTGTCAATACCTGGTGCCGCGCGACCAGCCAGAGTCTCGGCTACGCCCGTCGGCCGCTGTGTCGGCTGACGTGACGCCCGTCGGGTGCTGTGTCGGCTGACGTGACGCCCGTCGGCTGCTGTGTCCGCTGACGTGACGCCCGTCGGCCGCTGTGTCGGCTGATGTGGCGCCCGTCGGCCGCTGTGTACGCTGACGTGACGCCCGCTTCCCGCCCGGCAGTGTCAGACGATCGTGGAGGAGCAGGAGGACGAGCTGATGAAGTTCCTGAGCGAGGAGCACGACAACGCCAGCCACCAGTTCTGCTTCCACGAGACCAGCCTGTGTCCGCGGCACAGTCACGGCTCCGACGAGCTATAACGAGGCTTGCCCGCAGCGCCGGGCTCGCTGTCTCCGAGCCCGGCCCTGCTGCACCTTCGCGACTTTGGGGACTGATTGACAGACGGTTGTGTATGGTCCAATTGGGAGAACTTAGTGATCTTGCGACTGGGGTGTGAGCTAAACAGATTAAGTTTTGTGATGGTGGGGAGTTTTGCACACAGAATCTGGATGCACAATGTGCCCGTGTTCAAGTCGTTGTTTTTTACGATCTGTTTTACGATCTTATGTTTTTTAAGGTATTTTCGTGATGCATCGATAACTCACGTCAAAGGCTAGCTGTGGTGGGACCAGACCATGTCTTCCTTGACCTTGTGCTTTGTGGAGAAGGCGGGCATTTCATTTTGGGGAAATGCTGAGGGAACGACGTTTAGATCGTAATGTTACGGAAACTGTGCGATGCGACATTCTCGAGAAGACATGCCAGTTTTGTATTGAAAGACCGCAGAGTTGACGTTAATAAATACGTCGCTGTCTGTTCATATTGGAATGTTTTCGACTATTCCATCGACCAACAACATCTCGCCAGGTTGTGCAATATTGATTTGGGACTGCTGTGATTCAACAAGTGTGCTGTTCTGTACAAACGAAGTGCATTTGGTGCCTTCGATAGTGGTTTTGCATGTCGGGCTTACTCGACACACCACCTGTGACCGCGGCTGGCAATTGTGGCATGCGTGTGCCCCAACGTTTCTCATGTGTTCAGCATGCTTGTCGCACATTTATCAATTATCGTCAATCATCACTGCGCACAAATTGCACGAACAATTGTGTCCCGATGCCATTGCACGATATTTTGAGCGGGTCTGTGGAGTGGTTCCCGTGAGTTGCACATTTTGCTGTTCAGACGATTACCGTCCGCTGGGAAATGCAGCGAGAAAAAGCTAGCCGACTCTGGATTCCCTACCACTAAACGGTTTTCAAAGCACCTAACCTCGACATGGGTTGCGCTGGGTTTAGCGTGACGCACCGCTCCCGTGACCTTCGCGCCATGTAACGTACAGCGATGGGAAACCGAATATCTTGAGTAAAAACTATCGTATTTAGAGAATACAAGCGCTTGCGTGCTTGCTTCACTGCGCACATAATGAAAACGTAAAATTTGTAATTGTGTATGTTTTGCAGTTTAAATCACGGTTCTAGGTGCCCTGGTTGCCGAGATAGGGCGCAGAACGCCAAAGACTGGGCCGCGGCCCGCGCGCGTTCCGGTGTCCTCTGGCGGCTGCTGTTGGGAGAGAGCGCATTTGGCATGCCCTCTGTAACACAGGCAGACCTATTCCATGGGATGAGCGAATGATCGTGGGATGTGGCCGGTAATTGTTGTCCCTTCCATCAACTGTTAGTCTTTTGAACGACGACAGCACGCAGTGCTGTTGTATTAAGAGTATTGCATCGTATCGAAGAGTGAAAAACGGTCGGTAGCGCCCAAATCAATTTTCCTGGCTCGCGCATACGTGGCGCTATAATCTATGCGATGTGATTGTCTGTTCGATTCCCCATCAATCCATACCGCACGTGCGACGTGACAATTCATGCAACGTTATTATCTATTCGATTTCTTCTAAATGCATGCTACTCACCAGCACCTCCTTGCCCTGGGTGCTGAGATGTGGCACAAAGCGTGTAAACCTGTGGAAGAGAGTAAAAGCTATCTTCCTGGCTCGTGCGTGCCCGACATGTGTAACGTACCTCCCCGCACTTGTGACACATATGACCATGGGAATTCCCGTTCAATGGCCTATCGCAACATGCCAGTCTCGCGTTACTACGTGCCATAAGGGTGGAAATCCCGCGTAAAGCGCAAGAAATCGGCAAAATGCAGTTCCACAGCTAATGTGCACGTGTCACATGACACGTGCAGCGTGTCATCGTACACGTTTCAGTGATTCCCGTTAGATCACCTATCGAAGCGTGCCAGCCGCTGTGCACTTTGTTCCGTGGTTTCTGGGATATCACGAAGACGTGCAAGCTTCTCAAAGCCCGAAATTGTGTACATGTGTATAGCTTAACACATGGGCGCCATCGCATCTGGCACGTGTCACCAGATATCATAATCTCGCTTCTTCTGTTCATCATTGAAGCGCGCCGATCCCGGTTGTGTTAGTACCATAGGTGCCGGATCTTGGCACAAACGGTGCAAATCCTTGGAAGAGACCAAATCCATCTGTAATCACGTACCGTTTCATACGTGTGACCGTACCATTTCGATTATTATTCTTGTTGAACTTCGCATCTTGCAAGTTGTCGTGCAATTTGCAGCTCAACGGTGCGTTGCAGAAACTCGCGATGCGACTGGAAGTGTACCCGCGTCAATTGTTAATGTTGGGGAACAAAAGCCACGCCTGTGCGTGCACGGCGACCGCAACGCACAGGGCGCCGCCGACCGCCACCCCTGTGCCGAGACCGCTCCCGCGCACGAACCGTCCGCCGGCCCACTGCTGGGCAGACTTGAGGCACGCCAGCGTGCTCGTTCTTCAATATAAAGGCTGGGAGAGTCAACAGAATCGAAAGCCCGCCGCCCGAACGGCCATTTTAACCCTTAGTGCACAGGGCGTACGCGGGAGTCGGGATAGCGAGTTGCCGCCGTAGCGGTGAAAAAACCGTCACGCAACCCCCTAGTGTAGGCTCGTTTGCGAGCGACAGTTTTTAAAATGTGATTAACAAAAGGGTGCATTAGAGACAGCACGAATCGGCTGACACGCTGATGAAGCTTTCAGCGCTAGATCACGCATAGTTTTGACGGTAGCGGCATGTATTCAGCTTCGGTTTTGAAAACTCGGCCCGTTGCAACTTGTAATGCAATTTGCAGCGCAACGGTGCGTTGCATAAACTCGCAATGCACACTAAAAATGTAGCCACTTCAATTTCAGTGTTGGGATACAAAATTCAGAGCTCTGCGTTCTTTGCGTGCCGAGATCTAGCGGTAAACGTAAAACCACGTCAAAAACGGCCGATTTTAACTTGTCAACACGTGTGCACGTGCCACGGCTCAGGTGACGCAAAAACTCAACGATTACAATGGCCCATTCCATGCGCTATCGGACTGAGCAATTTTCACGTCGCTGGGACCCTCGGTTACCGAGATACGGCTCCAGGAAGTGAGGCGTGTCGGACCGTCGGCCGGTCGTGTTCTTGAAACTGACGTCGCCCGTGTTAACCCTATGGCATTTGGGCGTTTTTTTTCGGCAACCGCTCATTTTTGCGAAATGCGAAAATTTGACGCGACCCTGTCAAGCGCAGCCGGCACATCTTGGTCGTGTGCAGATTTCATGCAAGAACTTCTTGCTGTCTGGCCTGCAGGTCTACTGACGGACACACACACGCACAGTTCCTTTAGTAATAGTGATGATGATGTACCCAAACCGACACAACAGCGCCATGCAAACTGTGGCTTCTGGTACGGACGCAAGACCACTTGGCAAAGATCCGGACATATTCTAGTTAGCCCTCTCCTCTCCAAGAACGAGTGCATGTTACAGAACAACGTCCCATTACAACTCATTCCGCCTCACAGCAGCACTAGCATTTCCTTCTGTTTGAGTAATACCGTGTGGAAACGATGCTGTGATAAAAATACCACCTTGATTTAGCTTTCTCCCATGCATACGCTTGCGCCCGACTCCAGCGGAACTGACCCCGATCGATTCCTGATAGTATTCGGTTTTCGCCACATGACAGTTAAGACCCATCGATTGCTCACGTTTAAAATACGGAATTAGCGCCATAGTCACCTACACCACCAGAATTGCTTCATGCTTCAAAAATACCCACTTTACGCAGTAGCCGCCCATTCGTATCATGGTTAAGCACACGACGAACGTGTGTCAACGTCATGGGTATTTAACAGCCTGTGCCTATCGGCTATTGGCTATAACATGAAAATTTTATTTCACAAATAAAGACATGATACCTATTTCACTAAGTCATGATACCGACATACGATTGGTGGGAAATAAGATTGCATGCCTTCCTTGATTGCACGCCCTGGCTAAATGTCACAAATACTTTGAAGCAAAGTAAAAAGAAGTCCCCAATTAACTGTTCAGGTTTATTCAGCGCATTAAATGGTCTTCGCACTTTCACAAGTCACCAGCCTCTACGTCGCATTTATTACCATCAGCTCCACAGGACCTAAAGCACAGTCTCGGTCTCCCAGACAAACGCCAAACGCTCACTCACCCGTGCATGCACGCATACAAAAGAGCGCACAATGCACAGCACCACACCATCCTGCCTTACACGATCACGAATCAACGACGCCCCGTCCCATCGCCGAAAACGGCGGGCTGAGCCGTGGCGCCGTCGGCAGCGGGGCGGCCGGGCGGCGCCGGCGCACCCGGCGGCCGGGCAGTGACGAAGCGGCCGGGGTGCGCCGGCGTCCAGGCGCACCGCCGCCTAGCCCGCCCCCGATGCGGCGCTCGGCCGCTCAGACGTTGCCCAGGTTGAGCAGCGTTGTCTGGTTCTGTGGCAGGTACACCACGTTGCGGCTCTGTGACATCTGATAGGCGATGTCCTCGGCCGCCTCGATCCGGCGCAGCTCGATCAGGCCGTCGCCGACGCTGGCGAACGCCTTGGACAGCAGCTCAGCAGCAACCTTGTCGCCCTCGGCCGACATGATGGCGGCCTTCTTCTGCTGCTCGGCCTGCAGACGTACGATGCCGTGTCAGCGCCGACATTGTCGCACCCACTATCGCGCAAAATGACCTCAGCAGTCGGCATGCCCTTAAACGTCAATAAATATTGGACGTGAATGGAATGCAAAACATTGGGCACTCCATGACTGGCTGAGGCAAGATTTTTCAGTGGAAGAAGGCGTGTCCACTGCTTCATCTGCCATGTGACAACGTTGGAGGGGATTGCCGCGCCCCGCCAGTGGCAGCACGGCGTGCCCAGATACCACTGTTTGCCCCACGGAAAGTGGGGCTATCGCTCGGAATCCATTAAGGCTAAGATGTTAATGGCTGCAAGCGTGAAGCAGAAAAGAGCAGTGCACGATCAGCTCAAACCCGAATGCGACAAAACAAAACATAACACAAATAGCAAAACTATCCTGTTTTCTGCTATCGAAAGCAGTCACGATTCCCGGAGCAGTTCCCTATTTTCTATCCACAATGTCTTCGCTGCGAAGTGTCACGGGACTGGCAGCGACATTCCGTACCTTCTCGACGACGAAGCGTGCGCGCTCCGCCTCCTGCTGAGCCACCTGCTTCATCTCGACTGCGTGCGTGAACTCCCTGCCGAACGTCAGGTGCGTGATGGAGATGTCATCCAGCACGAGGCCGAACTGGCGCGCACGCTCCGTCAGGTCCTCCGATACCGTCTGCGACACGATCTCGCGCTGTGTGATCATCTCGCTGGCGTCGTAGCGCGCCACCACCGCCTTCAACACCTCGTTGGTTATGGAGGGCAGCACGCGCTCGTCGTAGTCCTGGCCGAGCGTGGTGTAGATGTTGGGCAGCGAGTTGGCAACTGGCCGGAACAGGATGCGCAATGTGATATTGACGTTCTGCAGGTCCTTGCTTCCGGTGATGACGGGCACGTTACGCGGCCGCGCGCGGATGTCGAACATGATGGGCCGCTGCACCCATGGGATGAAGAAGTGCGTGCCCTCGCCAATGACGGCATTTTTGACACCCGCGAAGCGATCGAAGATGACAGCCCGGTGGCCGGCGTCCACGTTGTACAGGGCGGAGTTTACGACGCCGCCGGCTATGGCCATGCCTAGGCCTAGCTGGCCGAGACGAGTCATTACTTGCGCCATCACGATCAAGGTGTGCTGTCAGGCCTGAAAATGCAGACAGGATGTCTAGTCAAAACACAGGAATCTGAATGAAACAGCACTGGACACCATGAATATCCCTCTAAAGTTGTTATTGTTGCTTACTGGTGTTTCAGGACATGCTGACTGCAAGGGCCATTTAGCATCCACGTCATAAATGCTTAGTCCAAAGCTTTTGATGAGGCAAATGTTTGCATCAAGTGCCTACCAGTGCTTATTGTGCCAGCCCTACAACCCCCAACCAATCATAAAATTCTAGTTGAATGGCAGAATTATGTAGTGAAAGCTTAAACATGCTGTGGTGCTCAGCACAGCCTGTCCACCCACCTTGAAACCACCTGACCTTCCACACAGCTACAGCCACCCATCACAGGTCATCAGAGTCAAGGGGCCAATAGCAATTGCCTAAAGTGACTCAGCACACCAGCCAGGAGTAGGTGGGGGAATCAGATGGCAGCCACCTGGACCAACTGAGCTGTAAGCATGGGGGAACTATTGGGATAAACATGCCATGTGAACAAAAACATCAAAATTGGGTCACATAGTGCCTGGCATGACAGAAGATATCAATTAAAGAACATGGTTTGAAACCTTCATTTGTACCAACCCCACTGCAAGCTCTTTAATTTGGTCAACTGTCTTAAGTACATTCACAATCCAGGCTGCCTTTAAGTATGTCTGAATGTTCCTTTTAGCTACATAAAATTCTCCTTATGTACAGTAACATTTGTAACAACAACAACAAACCATCTGCAGTATTTCAACAAAACATATGCAGTAACAAAACCATCTGCAGCATTCAGGTGGACATATCCATTATACATGATTCTCTCACCAGATCTGACTTTTCCAGCATACATTTTACTCACATATTATGTAAATTGCAATACGTTTCAGCATTAATGCAGAGTGACACCTGACCTGGAATAAATATTGAATTTGGAGCTCAATAGGCAAGGGTCTGTTCTTGCATACTGAAAACTTGTCTATCTTACTTCACAGATAGCACTATGTTCAAAACAAAATGCATGTGAGCTAGAATCAAGCAATAGAAATGTCATGCATGGTAAAAGTTTGCTCTCCACTTCATGTTTGGTTGCAATGTACCTGGCAGAATGGACTTACAAAAACACCACCTCTGGAGACAAGTATCTAACATAGAATCAGGTGGCTGAAATTTTGACAGACTTGAGGTCACGCTTTCTTTCATCTAGGTGGCATGCAAGCATCTTCTTTGCCTATTAATAGATTCAAACAAGAGTGTATGCATGGAAAGTGTATCTGAAATGTTGTGGCATGGGTGAGCCCTTAATGGAAATAAGAGCAAACATGATAGTGAGCCAACATGATTGCTACCAACATCATGAAGCTACCATGGTGAAATTACCACCATGATGATGCTACAAACATCATTAAATTAAAGAGTGCTAAAATACCATATATTTACTTTATGGAAGCTGGCATATGAATATCACAAGCAGAACATGCTCAAGAAAAACATTTTTCTTAACAACAAAAGGCAGCACTTTCAGGAGTAGTGGACTGTGAATCAGAGCATCTTGTCACCAGCATCAAAAGAGATAATTACAAACAAAATGCATGAAAACACCTAAGGGCAGAAATTTGAGGCTTTTTGTGGCTGCCATGCCCACACTGGTGAACCAACATGTAAAGTGTAACTAACTGTAATTACTATATTGGCACTCAAGAGGCCATAGCACCAACTGCAGTCAAAATTGATGTCTACTATGTGGCCTGATTACAAAATGGATGACATGATGAATATGACCCCTGTGGCATCACCATAAAAATTCCTGTGCATGTGCATCATTAATTTGAATGATCATAGCTCAGTACAGTTACCACCAAATCAAGTGCATTGAGTCAATGTTGCAGGACCTTGCATTGTTGCTAAGGTAATTTCAGGCAGAACTTGTCCAAAAAACATTTTTCAAATTAACATAATTTGGGAATTAAATCCAATTTGGTCCACCCTAAGTTAAGGGCACAGGAGCATGCAGCTCAGTGCACTGAAGTCACCTAAATATCTGGTATAATAGATGGAAGCCATACAGACTGGCCATGCTGGAGCTGAATGTTCTCACAAGAGGTACACTCCACCTTTTCAGGGGTAAAATTATTCATTACTATGATGGCATATAGTTACACCATCACACATACTGAGCTGACATTGTTCAAATCTGATTCAATAATTAATGATTGTCCTACATCCGAAGTTAAAAAATTGGGTAAAATGTTACTTTTCTACCTAACCTGCCAATGGAGGAAAGAGCTACCATGTGCCAAGGATGACCATTACACCAAAGTGCAGTGTGCCAGCAAGTGAGACACCACCATGCCAAAAGCCTAACAAAATTGATACTGTGTATATTAAGGAACAAAGCATCAAGGCACTTTTTATCAAAGGACCAAAGCAACTATACAAATACCCAAAATGAGGTGCGGAAAAGAGCGACGACGGCGGTAATGGCGCAATAAAGGCATACCTATCAGTGTCCCTGACCATGCTTCTAAGCGCTCATCCATCAACAAGTCGTGAAATTCAGCGGAAACACTCAAATGTACTCCCTGAAATCACAGTAGAAAGCCTTGCTAATTCCAAGGCCCCATAACCCAGTAAACGGCCCCCTCACCTCGCCGTCCCTCGCCACAGGCCTCCAGCCACCAGGATTTAGGTTATCTATGATGCCGGCGCACTAAATAATTACGTTCCCAGCAAAGGACAACACTGTATTCTACCATGTAATAAAATTTAAGCGCATAATTAAATACTTTATTTAAAATTTATAATTGCGTGGTAAAGCGCACACATGGATCTACATAACTCCCATTATGTTTTCTGAATCACTTCTTCACAAAATTGACCGCCAGGTTTCCAGCAGACCCGTGGTGCCGCAAGTAGCCGCAACCCTGCCGGGGGCGGCGGCGTGGCGTACCGCGTGCGCCCCGGTCCCACCTGTGTTGTTTTTCGGTGGGATTCAATGGGATTATGATGTATTGAGGAAAAATTTTCCATTTTCTTTTGGGAGTAGACTTAATCTTCTGACTAGGTCCCGCCCCGCATAGCTAAAAAGTTTTTGCTTGATGCTGTGCTGGAGGAATATGGCTGATGCGCTGCTCTCGCACGTCTATCAAGTGCTGAAATAATGATAATGATTCAAATGAAATGCTGTGCACCAAAGCATCCTTGTGTATGATGTCACAGTAACCATTCACAGATGGGTGGCAGCCATTGGTGGCCAGGTGGTTGGCTCTTGGAATTGTCACGATGTCCTTTTAATGCTGTTCCTTGATTTAGTCATGTTCAGTTTATTTCATTTATCACTATGCTACTCATATGAATAGCTTGGTTTGGATGGTGTAGTGAAAACTGCATTCAAATTCAGGATCTAGGAAATTCCAGTCCACTAGGTTAAGGCAAATGGCTCTTAAAGTACTAAAATCTGGTTGTCTTAATTACCCCATAAAGGGCAGGAAATCATACAGATATACCCTGCATACTCTGGAATTTATGTTGTTCTGCTTTCAGGACTACCAAACAGCTGGAGAATGAAATGGAGCCTGATGATATGAATGAGTATTACCAGGATATACAGGACATTCTCGGCCAATATAACTGGCTCTATGATTTTCAAATGACACACATGTTCACAGCTCATGTGTTTGAGCACATGCCAGATGAGTGGCAGGAGTTTGGACAGAATGTATCTGTTGAAACATTGCACAGTATAGCTCAAGCTACTCCCAAGGTATGTTACGCACAGATTTACTGAACTTTTGCAGAGGTGATTGATATTGCATCATATATTGCACCTGATCATTACAGCGGAATCCTATACTGAAAAATGTAAGCAGATTGGGAAGCAATCTATTGTTACTTGACATGAAGATAACTGCATCATCAGCAGTTACATGCCTTGCTTTGCCAGGTGCTGTGCATTCACATGGTAGTTGTAGCCCTGTGGCTTGCCTGCCTAGTTGACCCACCTACTGTTCAGATGTTGATCTAGGGGGGCCCATGGGGCCATGCCCCCCTTGGTTCCCAAAGTGGTCCATCAGCTTCAAGGGGACCCATAGGGGGTCAAACAGGTGCAGTTTGTTAATGCAAAATACAATAAAACTGGGTATCTCTTGACATCCAGACCACCAAGACCAAGTGAAAGTGAAGGAGCTATGAAAAGTCCAAAAAATCATTCAACAAAAAAGTTGTGAGCTTCTTCAGCCCAATTTTCAGCCCAGTTACACTGTCTAGGACCCATGCTGTTAGCGGGTTTTGAGGGGTTCTCTATCTGTTAACCTGCTTTGGCGCACTCAATTATGTGTCTTGGGTACTTCCTATCTGAATGGAGGGCCCAACGCACTTGTCGGGGACCCCATCTTTTCGCCGCTGCGGCCACACTGGATGGTTTGGGGGCCCTACATATTGGGGCTTTGGTGTTTGAATTTAGGACCTTACACTCCCGTCTGGGCCACCTGATAATCTGTTCAGGAATATTCCATCTTTTGGGGGGGCCCTCCGCGCTGGGTTTCGCGTACTCCTCCTTGGAATGGAGGGCCTTACACCCTTGTCAGGCCTCTTCGGATAAGCTGCTTGGGCACATTCCATCATTTTGGGGCCATTTGCATAGGGTTTTTGGTGCTTTCCATTCGAATGGAGGGCCTACGCTCTTATTGGGAGCCCTCTTTGTTGGCCTGTTCGAGCACACTCGATCATTCGGGGGCCCTCTACATTGGGTCTTGGGTACTTCCTATTTGAATGGATGGCCCTACACTCTTGGTACTTGGGCCACATATTTTAACCTGCTCGGGCGCACTCGATGGTTCAGAGCCCCACACATTGCGTCGTGAGTATTTCTTATTTGAGTGGACGGCTCTGTGTTCTTAGCGGGTCCTATTTATTGAGCTGCTCGGGCCGGTGGCAGATGCAGAGGTTGGGGGGGGGGGGGGGGGCACAGGATTATGCCCCATGAACCGTGCCGGGGCGACCTAAAGGCTCCGAAGGGGCCCTTAACCGGCCGGACGGACGCAGTTTTCCTACGACAGAAACACAACAAAATTGGTTCCGAAATACTTGGCCTCAAAATCACAGCATTTTACATGGATCTGTAAAAAATGAGTGAGCTTTATGTGTATGCGTGCGTAGCACGCCTAGCTTTATAGGGCTATTCACAATAACCTGGGTTTCCGTAATAATTAATAAATGAGTAAGTGAACACACACACGCACACGCACGCGCACGCACACGCACACGCACACGCACACACACACACACGCACACACACGCACACACACACACACACACACACACACACACACACACACCCGAGAGAGAGAGAGAGAGAGAGAGAGAGAGAGAGAGAGAGAGAGAGAGGAGGAGAGAGAGAGGAGAGAGAGAGAGAGAGAGAGACAGAGACAGAGACAGAGACAGAGACAGAGACAGAGACAGAGCAGAGACAGAGACAGAGGACAGAGACAGAGACCGAGACAGAGGACAGAGACAGAGACAGAGACAGAGACAGAGACAGAGACAGAGACAGAGACAGAGACAGAGACAGAGGACAGAGGACAGAGACAGAGACAGAGACAGAGACAGAGACAGAGACAAGAGACAGAGAGAGAGAGAGAGAGAGAGGCCCCAAACTGTATGGGAACCCACCATGTTGCGTGCCGCCTCCCTGACGAAATTCTGGATCCGTCCCCGCTGCTGTTGCATGACGGTGTTGCAGACGTGCCGTCTCTATGTTTCCCGGCAACATGACGCTGGCATTGCTGCTGGAGCTGCTCTGGCTGATGGTAGTCGGCCGTGCCGTGCGCGCAGGACGGGTGGCCGACCGACCTGACCTCACTGGTGCGTCGCTGCGGCCGGCTGCGTCGCTGGCAGCGGCGGCCGCAGCCAGTGCCGGCCGAGCCGCTGCCGGCGCCACTCGCCGTCGGCGTCGCCGCTAAGAAGCGGCACGAGCTGGAGCGCATGGCGCCGGCCGTGCGGCGCCTATGCGCGCGCACCGGCTGTCCGCTGGTGCTGGACGTCGGCGCGGGAGTGGTGAGTGGCGAACCGGGCCCAGACCGGTGGCGAGCCGGGCACGGACCAGTGGCAAACCGGGCTCAGACCAGTGGCGAGCCGGGCCCGGGCCAGTGGCGAGCCGGGCCCGGACCAGTGGCGAACCGGGCTCAGACCGGTGGCGAGCCAGGCCCGGACCAGTGGCGAGCCGGGCTCGGACCAGTCGCGAGCCGGGCTCAGACCGCTGGCGAGCCGGGCACGGACCAGTAACAAAGCGGGCCCAGACCGGTGGCGAGCCGGGCTCGGACCAGTGGCGGGCCGGGCCCGGACCAGTGGCGAACCGGGCTCAGACCGGTGGCGAGCCGGGTCCAGACAGGTGGCGAGCCGGGTCCGGACCGGTGGCGAGCTGGGTCCAAACAGGTGGCGAGCCTCGCTCGGACGGGTGAACCTCTGTGGTCAGTTGGTCCGACGGAAGGATAGCTGCTTAGAACTGAAATGCTTGAAACTGGGACATGTTTGTGATAACAGTTCTCACAGGCGACAAATACTATCGCTGAGAAACATGATTGGAATGGGTCAGCACGACGACGAGACTGACTGCATCCCGCTTGAAACATCAGAGTGCTGACCCCTAACGTTGCTTTTAAACCCAAATAACCCTCGAACAAGTGAAGCATTGTTACGTCCGCAGTTTGTCTTCGGCCGAAGCATTATCGATTGAAACGGTAGTGAGACATCACTCGTGCATTCGGCCCACACGGAGTCCATGCTGGGGCTAAACTTGTTGCGGTTGGCAGGGTCACCTGGCCGAGTGTCTGCGCCAGACGTCGCAGCTACGAGTGCTCGGTCTGGAGCAAAGTCAGCCGCTGGTGGAGGCGGCCGACCGGCGGCGGCGCCGACTGGCCGCTGCCGGCCTGCCCGGCTGCCCCGCATGCGTGCGCGTCGTTGCCTGCCACGTATCCGACTCCGAGCCGGGCGAGCGCCGGCTGCGGGTGCTGGCGGACGAGTTCGCGGCCGGCCGCTGCCGCTGCGACGGCCGCGAGCCAGAGCCCGGCCCGGCGGCGCGCTGGTGCCTCACTGGCCTGCACGCGTGCGGCGACCTGGCGCCGCAGCTGCTGCGGCTGGCCGCCCGTCTGCCGCAGGCACACGCTGTGCTGCTGCTCTCCTGCTGCTACCACAAAGCGGGCGGCGCTGCGCCGCTCAGTCGCCGGCTGGCGGCGGCGCAGCCGGGCCCGTTCGGCCGTCGGCTGGCCTGCCAGCAGTCAGTGGCCACCTGGTGCCGGCAGACCGCCGCCGAGCACGGCCGCCACGCCGCTGCCGCCGCCTGGCGGGCGATGCTGCAGGAGACGGCTGCGCGCACCGGCCGCTGTGTCCGCGAGCGGCGCCGCCACGGCGTGCACCGGTACGCCAGCTTCGCCGAGTACGCCGCTGCGCTGCTGGCGCCGCTGGGCGACGGAGGGCCGGGTGCTGCCTCACCGCCGGCCGGGGACGGCTCATCGCCGCCTGGGCACGGACGGGCCGGTGATGGGCCGGAGCCGGCTCAGCCCGAGCGTGGATCCCCAGCGTGCGCGGCACTTTCAGCGGAGGACCGTAACCAATGCCGAGGGACTGGGGACCTGCCCGCGGTGGCCGAGGCAGTGTTCGCCCAATGTCAGCCGCGCGCGGCCTGCGTGGAATTTCTGACGGCGCTTCAGGCCTGTCTGCAGCCGGTGCTTGAGGGACTGCTGTTGCTGGACCGCGTTCTGTTCCTGCGAGAGTGCGGGCTCGCCGCGCGGCTGGAGCCGCTGTTTGACGACGAGCAGTCCCCGCGAGCGTGGGCCATTGTGGCCTGGAAGTGATATTGTGCAAGGCGATTCTGCACCGGGCACTTGCATGACGGTCAGCATCACGGACGGGCGCGATCTTCCCCGGACTTTGTGGTATATCATGATGCTAGTATGCGTTGAATACAAGGTGTTTACTCTCAATCATAATTTTCCGTTTGAAAGTATATGTTGACTCCGCACAGTTTGTTTATCAATGTGACTTTCGGATTGGGAACATTCTGACGGAGCGGGAGACGACGGTCCCAATTTGGGAACATTCTGACGGAGCGGGAGACGACGGTTCCAATTCCACTCAGCGTTCTACGAGAACTGGCTCCTAGCGCCCGTGCTACACCTGTACCTACAGCCCCGCCCTTAACGCGCGTATAATTGTTGTGCATATATTCTCTAATGTTCTGTAACGGTCATCCGCTTCATATTGTATCGGTGAACAGAACGGCACCCACGTCTATCCATGGTATCTCTGCACATCAAAGGCATCAAACATCGCATTATCAGTTCCCGGGATTACACATATGTCTAAGGATACGAGATGCGAACGCGTAATTAGCACTGGTGTACACTTTCACGTTATGACTCAAGCCACTTGCGACGGGTGATGATGTTTTTTGGGCTCTCTGTATGGCACTGAGATACATGGCATTCATGCTTCTCATGGCTGAACTGCAGTTGCCATCGCTGATCGTCCAGTTCACTGTCGCTGCTTCCTTTCGCCTCTTGGCGATGTTCCAACATCATTGCGGATGAGCAGTCTCTCGGCATGTGAGACTCCGATTGCCACGATACATAAGGAGTGGGCCAGACGCCATCAACAGCATCAAAACCGCGGACTTTCAGAACGCCTTTACTAGCGCACATTTCGAGCGGTGGTGAGCTTCGCTTGACCGCACGCGAGCCTCCTACATACGTATAAATACCCTGCATTTAACGGAGGGTGTTCGAAACGCGTTGAGTAGGAGCTCAACTTACCGGTACGAGCATTGATGTGTCATTCGCAAACTTCGGCGCAGCTGCACTACAGCTGTAGCACCAACGCCGTCAGCCCCGGCATGCCGATTTTGTGCTGAATCTAAACAGCTAGCCATTCGTCCGCCAGGAGCTCTTAATAGCCTCGTTAGAAAATGCTATCATTAATACCCGATCAGAGAAGGATTAATATTCCACGCTCGCAAACTCCGTTGGACGACGTCATCAGATTTGGCCTGGAGGCTGATCTAAAGCTTCTGTGACAGAGGCTGGCATCACCAGGCTACTTCTCTGGAGCTCCGTCCACTCAGACAAAGGCCCACTGCGGAGTTCCGCAGTCACCATATGGTGCAACTCCGCCCAACGATTTTTCGATGCGTCGGTGCTGGACGCCAGGTTCTCGCACAGCTTCAAAAAATGTCTGCATTGTCTGCAACAAAAGAGCATTTGTCAGCATGGGGTGATAAAGTAGTCTACACGGTCGTACCCTATATGGGACGGACTATCCGGCACGCACCTAACAGCACGTACCCATGTGGTGTATTGCGTTACCAGTGTGCGCGCCTGGGCGCGCCTCTGCGGCCCACCGGCCGCCGCGGTCAGCGGTCGCCGGGATGCCTGACGACTGATACCAGTGAGAGCGTGCATATATCACACTGGTGGCAGCGAGTGGGGGCGTGCCAAATGGAGTCGAGGGAGACATTGGCGTGGGGTGATGGGGAAGAGCTGGAGGACTTCTTGCGACGGTTGGATGCCTGTCGGCTGGCGGTGGGGGACGAGAACAAAGCCGTGGGGAAGGCGCTTCCTGGTCTCGATTCGCGGGTTGAGGTGATGGATGCGCTTTCAGAAGAGGACAAATTGGATGTTCGGGGCCTGAAGTCGGCGCTGCGTCGGGAGTTCGGTCCGTCCCAGAGCTAGTATCAGGACTGGCTCAGTCAGCGACGTAAGCAGCCTTCTGGGACATGCGGTATGTTTCTTTCCGATTTACTCTGTTTCGTGGCGCGTCTCCTGGCTCGGAGCCTGACACGTCTGTTGGAGCTGCTCTCTTGAGGAGTCGGTTCTTGGATGGCATATCGTCAGATGTTGCCGCACAGTTATGTCTGTTGTATACCAGCACTGACGTTGATACGATGCCGATACATGCGAAACAAATTGAGGAGGCTGTCCATCGCTTGCCGGCTAAAGTCGAGTCAAATTGTGGAGGGGTCTGCGGGAGAGAAGGGAGCGGTTGATAATCTCCGGGACGATGTAGCCGAGCTCTCTCGTGCCGTGTTTGAGATCCGCGCGGCGGCCGGGCCGGCCGGCCGGCTGGTGCTATCGCCGGGGGCAGCGTGACGTCATTCGGGGCCGGGCGGGTCAGCCAGCGGTCGGCTCAGCGGGGCGGGGGACAGCCACGTGACCCGGCCAAGGTCAGCTGGGCGGGCGGCCCACAGGAGCGTGCACAGGGGGAGGGCAGCGGTGCGGCAGGGCCAGGCTGGCCAGCGCCCGGGTCGGGCCGGACTGGTTTCCGGGGCAGACAAATGCGATGTTGGACAGGTGGTTTTTCTGGCCACCGGCAGGTGGAGAGTACTCGGGCTCCATTGGGTCGCGGTCAGGGTGACCGGCCCCCTTGTCTGCTGGCGTTGTCGTGAGTTTTGGCACACAAAGCATGATTGTCATCTGGCTTTAAACTGAGGAGGGTTACTACCGCGGGACCGGTGGTAACCGGACCCGAGGTCACCCACAATTCGCAGGTCCGTTCGCTTCGTGTGCGTGGTCGTATTGCGAAAGTGGATTGCACGTGGTGGGTTGATACGGGAGCAATGGTTACCTGTGTGTCGGCATCTCTTCCGGGGGTCAGCTCGTTACCACTCAATCCAGCGGCTGTGCACCCGATCGCAGCCAATCGCACAACATTGAGATGTGTTGGAATGGTTTCGGCAAACGTTTTGATCGGGCCGGCAGCGATAAATGACGTTCAGATATTGGTGGTGCAAGATTTGTCCGCTCAGACTATCCTTGGAAATGATGTTCTGGCGTCGTTTAAATCCGTCCAAGTAAACTATAGCGAGCGGGTGCTGTATCTAGGGGGGTTTCGCGCA